TGCTGTACACTGAATCGGAATTAGGCCGAATCCGATTACTCTCCCCGTGGCCATTCGGGATTCTAAGGAACCGGGAATCAAAGTTAATTTCCGAGTTTTGAAGATTGACGAGATTAGCGTTTACGAACCAACCGAAACGTCGAGTTATTAATTAATTGATGTTCCTTCACCTTTTTCGTTAAATATCAATATTCGAGATATCTGGAATTTTCAGGCAGATACAAATACAGTCGAACCCCCATAACACGGTAGATACGTTCCACGTTTTATGAAATTCATGTTGTACGAGTCCTTAAATACACGAGCCAATCGCAGCCCGGCACGTGTGCAGTTTACGGACTACGGCTGTTTGAAAGGTTTTCTTCCATAAAATTAATCGATTCTAGACTAATTCCACTCGACATTTCCAAAACACGTATAACTTTTTGAGAATAATCCGTATAAACTATGCTATAAACACAAAATTGTAGGATTACTTACCGAGCGCGCACCGTTCGACGACGCCGTTGCTTAAGCTCGTTTTCGTCGCGGAGCGGCGCATCGAACGGCGCTCGCGTGCTTCCCGACAAGTTATTTTTCTGCGAAAAATTCGCCGAACTTTGGAGACGTCATTAATATAAATATAATTTTTATGGACGTTAAATAATAAATGGTTTTTAGTAGATCCGCCGCTCGCTTAATCTCAACGGTTTGTACTGTACAATATCCGCTATTGGTCTAGATTCGACCGATCCTGTCTCGACACGAGTCGGAGATGACGTTTTACCGTATTATACGAGTTTCTTTTAGCGTGTTTATACGAATACGGTGGCAATTTTTTCTCCGCTATATACGAATCCGCATTATATGAAACCGTTTTATGGGGGTCTACCGTATACCTAACTCCAGTCTTTCGACAAAAGCCATTTCGGTAGAGGCAACGAGAGATTTCTCTTTTTTTAAAATTCAAAATTAGGATCCGTGCCGTTCGCGACACAATATTATCTCGATATCCCGGGAATCGTCTATTCTATTGTTATATCTCTAATTGAAAAAAATCCAGTAGCCGGTTGCGTAACTTTCCCGGCAACTTTGATGGCGCCACCTGTTACGATATTTTATTTAAAATACTTTTTATATTTTTAACTATTATAAAATGGCAAAAAGCTTAATTTTCGAAATAGGACGAGTATATAAAAATTTGTAAATGCTAACAACTAGTAAAATCGTCACTAAGTCCGATCCTACTGGAGATACGACGCCATCTCCTTTATCCCCCACCCCGCCACCCTTAACCACCAAAGTTCGGTAGCATTAACTTCCGTAATACACAAACCTCCCTGCAAAATTTCAGAAATTTTCGACAAAAAGCGCGGCAGTTATCGAGTTTGAAATAAGACGAACAAAATCGTCACACTTAACATCCAAACGCAGAAAAACCCCCGAACTTTTTCTCGTATTCTCGACGTTTCGAAATCCGTGTTCAAAAATGTAAAAGTCTGGGGGGAGACGATATTTTGACTAATCGCCATATTCTTCCTTCGTTAAACGTAACAACCGGGAAAGTGATAGAATGGCGAAACGACGTAAACGTATTCGCAAATTAGAAGAAACAATAAATGTCTTCGTATCTCGTCTTTCTCCCACACCCGAGGAAGACGAGATACCAAGACATTTATTGTTGCTACTAATTATTAATGTCTGCTGCTTCGTTTGTCGTCTTTCTTTCTCGACAGATGGCGCCAGTTCGCAAGACGTATCGTTTATTTCTCTATTGTTACGTTGTTATTCATTTAATAAACCATGGACGCGCCTTTCTTGCCGAGATACGTTTATTGAAAACACTAACGTTTTCGACCTAATCTTCGGGCGTCACTGACTTCCAACATATTTTTAAATAACTTAACATTTAAAGGACGGAACGTCCGAACATTTTTACATTTAAATTTAAAACAAAAATATTTGACAAATTAACAAATAAATAATAAAATAAACCAAAATATACTAAATGAACTAAAATAATAACGATATAAATAATACGAGGGTAATACGGGCCGACGCGACACGGGCATACAAAAATGCATCGACCGAAATGGCGATTATGTAGAAAAATAGATAGCCTAAATGTTCGAGCTTTAAAATGATACGAACATTACTGAAAATAAATGTTTCTTTGTATTTAAAAAAAAAATAGGAGACCTTTTGGGACCCCGTATAATAAAAAATAACATAGTTAAAATAAAATAAGAATGAAATAAAATACGCAAAAAATGCCTCTAGGTATAAGCGCGGGTGGGGCTAAGAATTTTTATAGCCGAAGCGCGCGAAGCAGCGGTCCAATGACAATGATTTGGTCCTAAGACGAGCCGACAAAAGTAAGCGCCTATTCATCGCGAAAAAACAAAACTGTAACAAATCGTTAGAAGAATAGATTAAAAGAACGGAATGTCGGCGGGTCGATGAACAGATTGTTACCAGCGTAGACAGAAAGGTTAAAATACGAGATAAGTGGCAACCCTGTCGTTTCGTCACGCATTAAATCTTTCCATATACGGTGAGTGGTCACGCGCTCGTTTTGAATTACGTAAATACAGTCGACCCCCCATAACACGGTAGATACGTTCTGTTCTTTATGAAATTGATGTTTTAGAAGACCTTGCCAATCACAGCCCGGCACGTGTGCAGTTTACGGACTACGGCTGTTTGAAAGGTTTTCTTCCATAAAATTAATCGATTCCTAGACTAATTCGACTCGACATTTCCAATACGTATATTTTTTTGGGAATAATCCGTATAAACTATGTTATAAACAAAAACTTTTAGGATTACTTACCGAGTGCGCATCGTTCGACCACGCCATTGCTTAAATTCGTTTTCGTCGTGGATCTTGTCATCGAATGGCGCTCGCGTGCTTCTCGATAAATTATTTTTTTGCGAAAAATTCGCCGAACTTTGGAGACGTCATTAATATAAATAATTTTTAAGAACATTAAATAATAAATGGTTTTTAGTAGGACCGCCGCTCGTTTAAACTCGACGGTTTGTGCAATATCCGCTATTGGTCTAGATTCGACCGATCCTGTCGCGACACGAGTCGGAGATGACGTTTTACCGAATTATACGATTTTTTTAGCGTGTTCGTACGAGTACTGTCACAATTTTTTCGCCGTCATATAGGAATCCAAAATATAGGAACCCGTGTTATAGGGGTGTCGACTGTATGTAAATTTTACGCGTTCTGGTCGAGTACGCGTACTTAGGGGCCCGGCGGTCTTCGTACCCCGAACACCGGGAGTTCGGTCGCGGGTCGGCGCCTGGCTCGGACGGGTCGGCCACGCGGAGTTTTCCGGGTTTTCTCCGCGTCCGTAACTCCTAGATAGCGGCCAGTTTCCCTTAAAAAGACCTCCCGGAAGGCATCCCCCTAGTAAATCGCCCGAGAGTCGCGTTGTCGTAATTTAACAAACAAAGGAACAAACGTGAACAAACGTGAACTCGGGGCGGTAGTGCCTCGAATTATCGACACTCTACCGTATTTTATTATATAAAATGCTACGGCTTTCTGTGGCAATAGCGTCATTTTAATCAGATATGTTTATCGAAATTTACACGTAATTTTCTTACCGGATTATTTTTCTTTACCATTTCAGTCATATCCAAATGTACGTAAACGGACGTCATTTACGTACGTTTTTCGGTTAAATTTACGACAAGGTCGGCCAATCGCCGTTTATTTTAAAGACGAAATCGTTTTAAACCGGAAGTAAGGCGCTTTCTAATAATGCCATTTGTATTAGATCACAGTTAAATACCGGGTGGTCGTATCGATGGCCATCGATAGAGAAACGGTCGCAGTTTCTTCTACCGTCTCCATACGGACGTGATTCTCTCGGCTGTCCGTAGGAAGCGCGATACGCTCCGCAAAATCGGAATCGGTCGTCATCGCGCAACGCCATTTTACACCAACTTTCGAGTTTCGTTGATAATTTAAACGTCATCCGTCGGGCAAGGACGACCGATTCCGATTTTGCCAACTATAGAAGGCGAAACGGTGTGGCGACAGGCAAAAAGACGTTCGAATGCGGTCGGTTAGTCCATCGACTGGTGGTGTACAACACGTAATAATTAACGTAATTACGGCGAGTTAAAACGGTAGCATTGTTTTCGGAAGACCCCGTTAATGGCCAAACAAGAATTTTCGTTAATACAACTTTCTGTTTAGTAAATTGCCGATGGTCGGTCGAAAGCCATTACGTGGCGGAGTTTTTAAAGGAAACTAAGTATTGGAACGAGGGAATTAGCCACGGTATTAAATAACGTCCGGCCTTTATAATCCCGGAGAATTTCTTTCTGTGAGGCTCTGGACAGGTCCGAACCCTCACTAAAATTCGCGGAAAATAATTGTTTTAAAGAAAAAATATATATTNAGCCATTACGTGGCGGAGTTTTAATTAAAGGAAACTAAGTACCGGAATTAGCCACGGTATTAACATCCGGCCTTTATAATCCCGGAGAGTTACCGGCGTGGAAATTGCCCGGATGCCGCGTGGTTGGACGGTTAACCGCGAAGAAAGAAAGAAATTCGACTATGGTCTACAAAAACTTTTATTAGCGTTTTCGAACGGTTTACTTCCTTCGACCTCCGCTGGGGTTACATCTTCCGGACTTCTTGATCGGTTGGTTATCGGGAAGACCTTGGCAGTAACAGGACACGTTCGGTCTGTAACAGTAGCCCTTCGTCGCTCCCTTCTTCTTGCAAAGATCGGCGCACTTATCGTTACTCCAGCATTCGTACTTGCAATTGCCCGAATTCACCGGATATCCGTCCTTTCGGCTCTCCGCCTCTAAACCGACAACGTTTGAAATTTGAAAGTAAAACCCGCCTTCTAAAATTAGCGTTATCGCTATTTTGTACAGTAAACGAGGGCTAAATGGTGGACTCGAACGCGTCGTTCCGTTCTACTCGCAACGGCCATGTCTTTCCCCGGTTTCGCGTTACGCTTTTCAAAATTCGCCAACTAAAATTACTTAAATAATTAGGGTTCTCGGGTTTTATAATAAATACCGTCGCCTTCCGTAACGAAACACCGGGAAATACGCCATCTGGGTGTCGTCGTACGCCTTTCGTTCGAAAATGATTACGCTATTTATATACTTACATTCTTTATTTATCGCCACCAACCGCCGGAACATAATCGGGTTAGGAACGGCGTTACGCGTAGGTAAACAAGTAGGAAGGGATAATAATAAGAAATACGACAACTTTAGCGAAAACTGCGCCAACGGACGAAGATACGAACAGCGAATAAGACGAGAATTAACGGTAGAATTGAGCATTAATTAATTACAACAGGTACAGAACGAAAAAAGTTTAAAAGAATAATACAACTTAAAGTACCTCGTATATAACGATAACGATATTGCCATTCTGCCATGACGGCTGTAAACGTGGCGACCGAAAACGAGAGTACGTCGTATACGAAATTGGCCAAGAAACGGGACGTCGCGAGAAAATAAGGCTTTAACCGTGGGAGAAGAGAAGAAATTACTCGGAAGAGTTAATCGTCTTACCCAAAGCCAACAGACAGAAGACGGCAATCGATATCGAGTACTTCATCTCGGCTTTTGACTGGCCGTCCAAGGGGATTCTTTATTTAAAACATATCTAATTTGCTCAATTATCCGTACCAATTCGACGTTTAATAACTCTTAAAACGTCGTCGGAGTTTAAAAGTTCAATTAAGCATTAATAAACCGTTTAGAGGAGAAATTTTACGGCGGAAGACAAGTGGAGTGGCCACCGGTCCGACTCAATTAGGTTTTTAATAGGAGAAGAATTAATGATTAGATATTATCCTATTATTCGAAATCGTTTTATAATTACGAACATCTGCCGTCGGTTTCCGCTCCCGGACGACGATTACGGAAGACTGGCGAAAAGACAATCGCCATTCGCCACACTTTGGGCGTAGATAAAAGTCGACTTACAATTTTCCCGCTGGCGTTTCGAAACTTTCGGGTCTACACCACTATTCGTCCGCCGGTTTGGTCAATTTAGCCAGAGGATATTTATAGAGAAGAGGAAATAAACTTCTGACGACCTGGGGCGTAAGCGAAGGCCCAAATCGTTGCCAGAGCGGAAGTTTTCGACCGGTGGTCTTTGGCAAAAGTCAGCGGTTTTTCTTATTTAAACTCGAAATATACCCACGCCGGGAGTATACTGCGAACAATACCGTCCGCCACCTTCGGCTCCGGCCCGGTCCCGCGGGACGAGGTGTTTATTCTACGAGGAGATCCTCGTCTATAAAACGTTAGAATTACCTCTTACGGCATCTTCCGTTCTTTATAAATGTTAAGTAAGTAAACTTTTCTGTCTTCTTTTCCATTCGTTCCTAGAAATTATTTAACAAAAAGTCGCATTCTCTTCTACATTTGAAGACGTTTCCTTGTCCTAACGCGCGTCCAAGAAAAGTGGGACGAATTTAATAACGACCAAGCCAAACAATTTGGACTCTACCAGTCTCTACCGTGTTATTTTGATAATTAAAACGCGACGTTAAAAATTCGTGGCTTAGAATATACGTAAACGCGTATTTTTTACGTAAACCGACACGTTTTTTGTTTAGGTCACCGGAGACGTCGCGGGGGTATTTGCCTGGTTGGATGGGGCCAGGAACGGCTTTATAAGTTTCCTACAAACCGAGGATAGGAGTTTGGTCGGCCGAAATGTGTTTTCGCATTAGCAGGTTTTTATGCTTTAAGAATACCAAAGACGGATCTTTAGCCGTGGGTATTTACAACGCGGTGAGTGACGACGGTTTCCTACGATTTCTATGTTACGTTTATTAATATTAACGCATTTTCCGTCGACGCTTTATAGGTTATTTCGTTAATAACACTCGTTATCTGTTGCGCGGTATACACCCGACGGAATAGCGGCGCTACGACCGGGCCCGGCCACGTTTACTTAGGTAACAACTTTAAAGTATAAAGATCGGTAGAAATATTTTATCCAGTTAAATGTTTTAATAGAGTAAGTTATTTATAAGATATACGCGTTTTTAGAAAATACTCCGGTTACCTTTTTACTACGTAATGATTTTCGTATCGTTATCCTTCCCTTTTAAAAGAAAAAAGTCTCGAACTAAATAAAGCGAATAAAAACCAGTTTACTCTTCATATTGTTCGTCCTTGCCGACGGGAGTTACGTCGTTTCTAAAACTGTCAAACGAACGAATTAAGTTAAGGATAGATTAATATTCTAAATACATAAAAAATATCTGGAGAATGGGACGAGTGACGAGACAGTTATTTCGATGGATTCTAATTATAATCCGGCAAAAATCGAGGATGCTTGGCTGTGGGTCTACTTTTAAAACTCGTCTCCCGTTAGCTTTGTCGCAATTAAAAACCTAGAAAATACGGAGGAAATTTCAAAAAAATAAACTTTAATTTGGCGGCCGAGACTTTTTCGTCCCGTCGACAAAAACTTAAACGATTATTAAAATATTAAACGTTATTTTTCAAATAAATGATATTTTGAAAGAAATTTTTCTTCTTCTTCCCAGGAGAATAAATTGTTTAAAAAATTCCACTTGGAGTATAGCCGAGAAATAAGTAAAACTTATAAAAATAAATACGCTAGTGCCTCGTACTTCAAATTTAATTCGTTCGAACTCCCAAGCAACGTTTACCGTTCTGAAATAACCAAAGCCAATTAATCCGTTCCCGGACCCCAAAGGATACTCGTTTCGTTAAAACGAGAAAGGCAACTTAAGGAAAAAATAAAAACTGCAAATTCGCGATTATATTCCTTGTTGGGAAGCCTACTTTACGCTTGGAGGGCATTTTCCGAAATCTGCGAACGAAGTCTGCGCTCGTACTTTACTTCGTTATAGCCCTTTTCTCCGACGTTTCGGACTCAAACGATTTACCAGATGCTCTGTTTGGTCATTAATCTCCCTTTTTCTCCATCGTTTAGACCCGACACTGGTTCGCCACCACCTGGACGTTGCTCCCTCCGTCGTTTATCATCGCGTGGCGCTTGTTCTAAAATACGTAATTTTCTTCCTTTCCGGTCTACGTTATCGACACGCCCTCTGGGTCCGATTCGACCTCCGAAACTTCCCGACTTAAGAATTCTGTACTTAATTAATCGTAATTTTGACTAGATTTTAGGGACTCGGCGTACCAACGAATACGAACGTACGGTACCTAGGTACTACAGTACTTTTTAAACACTTGTGTAAGGAAAAATACGAAAATAACAATGGCAAAAGCTGTTAATTGTATTTTGATAATAAAAATGCGTTAAGAAGGATCTTTTGGCAGAAAAATACTTGGACGAAAAAACCACCGGCGTCGTCCTGGCGGCCGTTTCCCTGTGGTCGGCGGTCACTCTGGTCCTTTTGTACGGCGTCAAGAACGTAAGTAAACGTTTGACATTTTCTATTAAAATGGACAACTTTAACCCAGGTCGACGCGATAATTCGATGGTTTCGTACGAAACGGACGGGTCGAATGGCGAATTTAGCGTTCGGACGGCGAGTGAATTTAAGAAGTAACCGGCCAGCAGTTAGACCGGGCAATTTTTTCCAAAAATGTTTCGGTTAAAACCCGCGACTTTCGACGAAACGTTCGACATTTTTTATTTTTTCGGAAACGATTTGTAAATTTCTCATAAATTATCAAAAGTTTTCCGCTGTTACAAACGGAAAAACGCATTAGTAAACGGTAACCGCGCATTTTTGACATAATCATTTACGTAGTCGAAACGTTTTTCCGAAAATTATTTTCGCGCGGTCCCGTCGTATTTTTATATAGACGAGTTATTCGTTAGGACCTCAGAAATCTTAACAAAACGTACTTTTGTTTTAAACTGTTTCCACCCGCGGGAACTAAGAGGGCGGTTTGGCGGTGTTTTTAGCTATCCCATTACGGGTCGGGCCGGGCCGGCAACGGCGAGGGAGGGGACCCGACGTATCCGGACGGACCACCCCCGAAACATTCCTAGAGATTTTCTCATCCGGGTCCCCCAAAGCTGTAGGCCGCCGGCTCGACCGCTGGGCCATCCGGCCTAACCGAAGGTACATTTTAAGCTTTTCCTCCCATCGTAATTAATCGTCGGCGGGAAATTTATAAATGGACGGGCCGAAATTCGTGTATTTTAAAAATGTTTTATCGGCTCCAACGAAATTTACTAATTTCGTTGGCAGGACAAGCGGTTTTTATTCCTCCCCTGGATGGTTTGGAAGGCCGCGGTGGTGGCGGCACTTATAATATCGTTGGTCCTCTGCCTGGCGGTCGTATTGGCCAATCCGGTAAGTTAACGGCGCGAAGATTAAACCGATGGTGATAAGGGCGAACGATGGAATTTATTGGGAGTTTCTTTCGACAGATGGCCGCGGTTATCGCCTTGGCGGCGGGTTCGACGGCCTCCTTCGAAGTGAGTACCCGGCAAATACCCCGACGAATTTTTTACATTTTCCCAATATTAATTAATACTCGTTTTTCTTTCTAGGTGTACTGTTACAGTTGCGTGTATTCTCAATACAGGATCTTGACCGGCAATTAGTTAAAACGGAAGGCTGCCGGAACGTCTGAGTCCACAGCGTTATTTCTCCTTCAAATAGAAAAACTTTTACGCGTACTTTTTTTAAATGATGGAAACGGCCAATTATTATCCAGGATTTAAAATGAAAATTTCGATCGGATAAATTATGTTTCGAGGCAATAAAATATTAATTTACAGCTTTTGCTCGTACGCTTTGTAAAAGGTAATTAGGCCGGGAACACGCGCGCGTAAAATTGTGTGGCAGAAAACTGAATCAGAAATCGGTTTCTGTTTTACGCTTTTTATGCCGGAACACGCGTACGTAAAAATTCTGGCCGAACAGGAAACGCCGCTGCCACCAACGGTGCTAATTTTATTCATTTTTTTCCTCTCATAGAGGCTATCTATCCCTTTGTACCTTCCATTTTTTCTCCGCTTCCTCCGCTGTAATATAGAAAGTTTAAATGAATAGACTCGTATTCCGAATTGAAATAAAGAACGCGCCATCTAAATACTAGGCCTATATATCTATTCTACTACACCTAGCTGTTATTTGAAATTTAGCACCTATAACCATCCATAAACGTCGTTTAAATACGGTGTCTTTATACGCGACACCCACGTGGTCGAACGGATTCGATAAACTCCTCTATTTCGACATCGTCACAATTGTAGGGTTAACCCTGGTTGCCGCCATTGTTAGAATAAAAACCACGCGTCCACTTTGACGCCACAGGAAAGACTTGTCTTTATTGGAGGAATTTCGGCGTAAAAAGTAGAGACACGCTCTACTCTATTTTCAGTTCCGTTTCGGCCAAAATTTCAGAAAAATTTTTACGTTTTCTGTTTTACGCTAGATTTTACGCCGAATTTTACGCGCGTGTGTTCCCGGCTTTAAACCGTTAACGCGATTACGCGTCGTGTCTTACGTAATATCAAAAATAAGAATTAAGCGAAAAGTAAGGAAAGAAACATTTTATCGCCACCTGACGGGGTCGAGAAATTGTTTGTCCCGTGGAATAGAACTTAAGAAGATAAATGACGTAAATTCCGTTGTTAGAGTCGACGTGGAAGCGCGTCGGAGGACGCCTACCGGAAGAAGCCGTTCTCTTATTCTTTTCTTATTATATACGGGATACGACTTTGCTCTTTTATTAATGCATTTAGGCCGGATAAAATAAAGAAAGGCGCCGTTTCTCTAACGTTCGAACAAATATTTTGGCAAAAGAATTTGTTCCGGACGCCAAGCGGGGCGAGCGATGGGAAGGGCGACTAATTAAATTTTTATCCGGAACGTTTGGAAATAAAAATGTAAGTCGTAGTTTCGTTAATCGAGGACGAACTACTTTGAACGCAAAACGTAATTAAGTTAATTGTAGTCAGATAAATCTATACAAAAACAATATCGTTCCGTGTATACGGCTTATAAAATTCGATTCGAAATTCCAACATTCGATTACGAAGAATCGTATCCTTAAAACGGCCCCCTCCCGCGCGACGGGGGACCGACGGCCACCCTATGGTTACGCTGGGCGAGAAATCGAAAGCCGACGTTTGACCTTTCGGCCTACGGTGTCCGGTCGCGCGCCGGGTTTCCGTTACCCAAATTTTACGCCCGGCGGTCGAGCGGGCGCGCATCGCGACTTTGCCGACTACGCCACACCGATCGCCTTCCGCGTCGCGGTGTGACCGTTTTACTGTTAGTTTACGGCGTTTCCCACGGGCAGCGGACGAAAGAACGTTCGAACGTAGACGGTACCCACGCGCGGCAACGGACGACGGAACGGCAAAATGACGTCACTTTTGCCGCCACGGAAAGCGGCGCGGTAAAAATTAGACCAATCCGTCTAACAACGTGGCAAACATCACGTTCGAACTACGGGGATGGGCCAGCTAAAAAGCTTTATTTGTACACTAATACGCTAATATATTTCATTTATACGCTATATCAGACTTACTTACCGCATAAAGTATTGGGAATCGAGTAAGCGTAATTCGGGACGAAAGTACAGTAGACCCCCTATAACGCGGGTTCCGATAACGTAGATTCCTACGACGCGGCGAAAAAATTGCGTCAGTATTCGTACAAAGACGCTGAAAGGAACCCGTAAAACGCGGTAAAACGTCATCGCCAACTCGTCATGGGAAGAGCAGCCGAACTATTTTCCGCGGTCTAGCGCCACACTAGGGAGAGTTTAGGCGGGTAAGTTGAGTTTAACTATTGTCTGTACAGTATTATATATAAATTATATATAAATTAGGTACTGTATATATAATTATATATTAACTTAATTTATTTTAACTTTATTATAATTATATGTATAGTTTCCGCCATCTAGCGCCACGCTACAGAGAGTTTAGGCGAGCTATCGTCTGCACAGTATGTAAATTAGGTACCGTAAGTCTAATACAGCACTGTAATTTTATACATTTCTTGTGAAAGAAACATTTCTTATTCAACGGCGATTAAAATTATTTATATTAATGATGTCTCCGAAGTTCAACAAAGTTTTCGCAGAAAAATAAATTGTTAGAAATTGGCCGCTATTTGCCGAGCTGTTCCATCCCGANAAAATTATTTATATTAATGATGTCTCCAAAGTTCAGCGAAGTTTTCGCAGAAAAATAACATCAGAAATCGCGGCCACGGTTTGCTGAGTTGTTCCGCGACGAAAACAAGCTTGAGCAATAGTGATGTCGAATGGTGCACACTCGGTAAGTAATCCTACAATTTTTTGTTTATAGCGTAGCTTATACGGATTATTTCCAAAAAAAATATACGTATTTTGGAAATGTTGAGTCGGATTAGTCTAGAATCGATTAATTTTATGGAAGAAAACCTTTCAGTCAGCAGTAGTCCGTAAACTGCACACGTGTCAAATACGTGAGCCAATCACAGGCCAAGGATTCCTACAACGCAAAATTCGTATAACGAGGAACGTATCTTCGCATTATAGGGGGATCTACGGTATTCGATATTCCTAACTTTCGACCATTTAGAATATTTTTCCTTTCCAAATTATTCGTTTTTTAGGTTTTTTTTTTATTTGCGATAAGATCGAAGGCAAACTTAAAAAGTTTAGTCGATACAACGAAACGATCCCGGTAGACGCCATTTTCGACTACCGGCACGTGTCCTACCTACTGCAGTAGCTGGTTTATATTTACGGCTGGCGGATGGCGCGTTTCGATGGTAGGGTAATTTCCGGCCGCGAGTACACGCGAGGCGGAAAGACGACGGAACGGCAACCGTTTCCGTCGGCCGTTGCCGCCTGCGAGTAGCGGGCTTTAGTCCGTCGATTGGTGGTGTACCACGCGTAATAATTAACGTAATTACGGCGAGTTAAAACGGTAGCATTGTTTTCGGAAGACCCCGTTAATGGTGAAACAAGAATTTTCGTTAATACAACTTTCTGTTTAGTAAATTGCCGATGGTCGGTCGAAAGCCATTACGTGGCGGAGTTTTTAAAGGAAACTAAGTATTGGAACGAGGGAATTAGCCACGGTATTAAATAACGTCCGGCCTTTATAATCCCGGAGAATTTCTTTCTGTGAGGCTCTGGACAGGTCCGAACCCTCACTAAAATTCGCGGAAAATAATTGTTTTAAAGAAAAAATATATATTAGTTAGAAATACATTTTTTATATGAAAACGCGACGCTAACTTTTAAACAATAGAAGAATGTAAGTCCGTCGACCATCTCCGGTTGGAGATCGAATTAAACTTCGATTTTGATCTCTCCCGCGCCCCCGAAAGGTTTCGGATTATCATCGGGTGACGAGGAGAGACCAATCGGAAAGGGGAATCCGAGAGAAAACGGATAAAACCCCGGAAATTCGTGGACGCGACGGCTTCTTCTCCCGAAAGTTCCGAGTGACGGATCTGTTGTCGCGTGTGTGTCTCGCACCCATCTTCGTCTCTATCTCCCGACCTCGGATCGACATCTTTCCATCAACGGAAGTCGACCGCACGGTCCCGGAGTGGTCGAGACGTGATGGAATGGTTCATTGGCGAACGAGGGACACTCCTTCAAAATGGGACTATCTTGGAAAGGAGAGGAAGACCCAGAGGCCGCAACCGCCGCAGAACTTCCAAGATCGCGGACATCTTGTAAGCTTCTTTCGTGTTTAATAAACGGTTTTGTTGTTTGTAAACGAAGCATCTACCTCTGGCTCAACTGCTTCCACGTGTCGTCGATTGTTACCGCTCGGCAATCCAAACGGCAAGGGAGACGATGACGATATATATCACATATTATCGTTGGTCGAGATTTTTTTATTTCTCCCCCCCTCGGCCCCCACATTTCTTTCTTGGCGGATAACCGCCAAGAAAGAAAGAAATTCGACTGTCGTCCGCAAAAACTTTTATTAGCCTTTTGTTTACCGACAAACGCGGAGGAAGCGTCGCGCCTAGCGTATGGGGCAAAACGAATTCTGTTCGGACAAACGGTCGAAAACTTAAACGAAAGTTTCTTTCCTGCCGGGGATGGACGGGGCGGACGAATGCGTACGCCAATCCGTAATAGATTCGTATAGGCAATTCTTCGGTCGACCCACCCAGGCGGCAGATGGCTTTCGAAATGTACCAAACGCCGTAGTCGAAGCACCCGGCCGAAGAAATTCCTGCGGGACTAAAGGTATTCGTCGGCGCCGGAGACGACGGGCAAAAGCGTCCGCTTTCGACATTTTCCTACGGCCATCGGTCACTCCCCGTCTTCTTCCGCATTTCCGACCGAGAGAGAAAAATTCCTCGGCCCGGAAGAAGGGCGCTCGGCGTTTACGAAATGCTCCCACCCGGCATCCGCCGGCGCGCGCATCGTTTACGGATCGAAAGCCACCGTTCTCGCCGCGCAGTTTTTTTTCTTTCGGATTAAAGAATATCGATATTAACGTAACGGCCGAAACTAACCGGCAATTATTATTATCGCCGCGATTTTTAATGGTGTTTTTAATTTATTTAATTTAACGTATACCCTCTCGGCCCGGAATTAGTACCGTCTGGCCCCTACGTCGTTACTTTTTTCCAGGAAGAAGTTTGGAACGGGAATAACGCCACTTCCGGTGGGCGCGAGAATTTCGCGTATAATTAATCCGGGCCTTTCGTCCTTTAGGCTTCCGTATCCGGCGTCGACTTCGGTCTATCCCACTCCGTTTTCCAGACGGCGGGATTTTATAGGTCTACGGTTTTTTCAAATGGCGGCCAAATTACCGTCCCGGTGGGACTCGGCTGGTAAAGTTTCGCTAAACGTTAACGGCCGGGACTTAACGGCCGTTTTACCGGTTATTAGCGTTTACGATTTCTTTTATAAAACCCGTCCCTACTCTAAAAGTTAAGCTTTTTGTCATTTTATAATAATTAAAAATATAAAAAGTTTTTAATAATAAAATACGCTAACGAATGGCTCCACCCGCGCAATTTTAAACGTTTCCGGGAAAGTCGAGCCACCGGCGGCCACGTTTTTAAAATCGCCACGTTAAATAGTACGAACCTATGGTTATACGCTCGGTAGCGTTTACGGCAATATCTCGGCCAGATAACATTTCATTTTGTTTATTAAACGTATTTAATATAAGCCATGTTAATAAAGATTTTCGCTCCCTTGCCGACAATTTTTTCCTTCTTTCGCTACATTTTCTTTTAGCCGTACAATGTTTCTCGGCAAATTTATAAACCGAGAGTTATTATTACGCGCTTAACTCGCCAGTATTTGTATACCGTTACCGGAAATATTCTCCGTATTTTCATTTATATTTAACTCGTTACGCGAAATTTATTAATAAATATATCGACGAATTCGTAAAATACCTTTAATTATTTAAGTGTATTCCGTTTAATATAGACGGGAATTTTTACGCACCGAGTAGGCGACCTACGGTACGGTACGTTCTAATATCCTTCCGCTCGGATATAATCTTTGGAAAATCTTCGCCCGAAACTGGGGCCCGACAAAAAAATATATATTTTTTATAATTTCGATTTATTACAAATATTTATTTAGAAAACGTACGGCGCGGTACAAAAAGTATCGCCGGGTACGATTAACGCCCGACCCGAATTAACGGGTATATTTAATTACTTTAGAACTTTTTCATGGTCGTCTGCGAAGGGTCCGATTCGGTCAACAACTTGTACTGGGAATAGACGCAACCGTAACAGTAAATCTGGAAAGAAAATCGTCGGGTTAACTTCCCTTCGTCGGCGTAAATGGTCGACCGATAGACATACTCACGTGAAAGGAGATGAAGGCAGCCGATACTAACATCCCGACGGCGTAGCTCTGTTTTAAAACGAAAGACGTTGAATGGCGTATAAAGAAGAAACTATACAAAATGGCCGCGCACTCCGATAACCATCGAAGGCCGGAGAAAATAAACGCAACTTACGGGAATTTGAATCATGACGATGAAGGAGCAGATAAACGTAAGGAATTCTCCGGCGATTACCATCACCATCCATATCAACCACGGTATGAGAAAATGTCGTTGGTCCTGTTAATTGTAATAAAAGATATTTCCTAATACCTAGCCTAATTACGAAATGAATCGAATCGAGTAACGTTATATAAAATCGCCTAGTATCGAAACACTAGACGACGACTAAATAAGTAAATTTTCGGTATCGATTAAAGAAGTTTATCCGCCTTTCCGCAATTCTTGGATTTAATGGCCGTAAAAATTGCAAGGAGGGAAAAAGTCACTTACCGTTTTAGCTCCGTACACCAGGCAGAAACCTACCAGGAACCAAATACACGACAAGACGATGCACAGGATAAGGTATATATTTGCGTAGGCCAAGACGGATTCTAGGAAAAATACATTTTTATCGGTTGCGCCGTAATACTACCGTAATCGAATTAAAGTAAAAACGCCAATATTGTATAAATTAAGTTTACAATGCCGACGAGGTCTTAATTAAATACTATTCGTATAAATCTGACCAAATTTACGTGTATTTACCATTCACGCTCGAGGAATTGGGATAACTCTTAACCACGTTCGCCACATTTTGAACTTGTCCGTAAAGTACGCCGAAAACAATTGTCGATAACAAGGAGATAATCTAAAAGAAACGAAAGAAAGAAATTGATTACGTGCGGGCTATTGTGCCACGGATGGCGTCGTTTACTCCAACGTCCCTAATTATCACAAGTTCAAAATGCAAAAACCGTTTATTATCGAGCGGATGGAGGAACTAGTTTACGCCGGCAAAAATGGGATTTAAAGTGGTTAAATTACACTTTTCCTGGCCGTAACTTCGTTCTTCCCTGGCCCGCTCGGCCGAAATCTTATCCGAAAGTCGTCGGTCCCCGAGACGACTTAGTAAATTCCGCTTCGGATCGTTTTTTAATTACGAAATTGTATAAAAAATATTTAATTTTGGCGCGGGAGGGACGGCGGCATCCGTTTAATTAATAATTTGTTGGCAATCTGGGCCGTAAGAGAACGGCTAATAAACAAAGATTAGTTCTCTGTGTACTTTTCTCCGCGTTTCCGATAAGAACCGACGTAACAAAGAGATAAAATTGAAAACAACCCGTGCCGTTGGAACCCGGTAAGTTTATACATTTTAAACTTTTTCGTCGCGTGGGTAACAGTTCGGTAAAGATAAGAACACCCCACACTCCGCCCATAACCCGAAAGTTGTAGGAGCCGTTACCGTCCGATCGCCTTTGATCTTAGACAAAAGGCCTTTTGGCTAAGATCGAAGGCGGGTTGCGCGGATAGCCTACCGGTCGTCCGCTCCTGGCCTCTCGTCCACGCCGGAAACTCCTAGGCTTCCGCTTACGAGTTTCTGGCTATTTCTGGGCCGTATCCGCCGTCGCCGCGGCATCTAGGAGTCGTTTGCCGACGTCGGCCCCCCGGTCGGATCCCTCACGCCTGCAAACTTTAATACATCGGGCCCGGTCCAATTTAAAGTATAAAATAACTATGTTTATTTATACAAAGAAATATAATGCTAAAGATTACAAAGGTAACGTACGAGTACTCGATTAATTGATATATTAAACGAACACTATATCGATACGAGGATAAAACTATCATTTTAGAAGAGAACTCCCCAATTTTCTCCGATTCGTAGGAAATTACACTATACGCTGTTACCCAAGTGCAGTGTTTTTCAACCTGTGGGTCGCGACCCCCCTGGGGGTCGCGAAGCCTTACACGGGGGTCGCGGGTAAAAGAAAAAGTGTTTGTAGGTCCTACATTACATTGAAAAAACTACAATTTCAGCGAGAAGGCTGTATCTGTTTATTATGCAGTACAGTTGGTTTTTTGATTGACATTTAGGTCCGCATGATGGGTGTCGCCTGGGTGGGTACGGTCCACCCCAGAAAATGATTGCCGAAAAAGTGTCGAGCTGACATGTAAAAAGAAATAATAAGTAGAAAAGTAGAAGTGAAATTCCCTCATCCTAAAAAAAAGGTCAACAGCACTCCGAACCCATTGTTATAAGAAGAAAGTAACATACTATACGTGTCTTAAGTTATTGTCGATTCTCCTTAAATTCTCATTTTAGTCAACAGTAATTTTTCTGAGCAGAAAGAAAATTAAATACATAATTTTTTAAATCACTGATTTAGTTTTAATATGGCCCTAGGGGGGTCGCCTGAATTTTTTAACTTGTAAAGGGGTCGCGTATTCAAAAAGGTTGAAAAACACTGCCCTAGTGTATATGCACTATACACTGTTAACCTTTCTTTTTAAGTAAAATAAAATAATATTTTAAACGAAATTCATTTTCTAAAACATTTTAAACATTAAAATGTTTTCCAATGTAATCCCGGTTCTCACGCGTGTATCGTAATTTTTTATTTTTATTTTTGTTTCCGCTCCGAGAGTACAAACCGGACCTTTTTTTCGAGCTTAAGGTAGATTCGGCCAGCGACGGCTCCCAACGTACCCGGAAGGAATGAACCGATGCGGCCACCCGTCCGGATTCGATTTCGAATCCTCCGGAGCGGTAGGCCGACCACTCGCCGTCTTAGCCGTCCGACTATTGCCCACCGGCGGGTGCGCGGATAAAAACCTGGTAAAAAAACCTCCTATAATTTGGTAAAACGTCATCGGGCAGCCGAACTGCTTTCCGCCGTCCAGCGCCACGCTACGAAGAATTTAGGAGGGTAAATTGAGTTTACTATCGTCTGTACAGTATGTAAATTAGTTACCATAAGTCTAATACAGCACTAATTTTATACATTTCTTGTAAAAAAACATTTCTTATTCAACGGCCATAAAGATTATTTATATTAATAATGTATCCAAATTGTGTACTGGCACAATGAAGTGACGTTTTTCTCAACACTGGGCTAGTTGAATCTTTTATTTAGTTAGTTTAACTAACTAAATAAAAGATTCTAACTAACTAACTAAATAAAAGTAACTAACTAACTAACTAACTAAATAAAAGATTCAACTAGCCCAGTGTTGAGAAAAACGTCACTTCATTGTGCCAGTACACAATAAGCAAATACAACACGGTTTCGACAACATCAACAAATGTATCCAAAGTTCGACGAAGTTTTAGCAGAAAAATAACTTATCAGAAATCGCCCGCCGTTTGGTGCGCCGCTTCGCCACGAAAACAAGCTCGAGCAACGGCGACGTCGAACGGTGCACACTCGGTAAGTAATCCTACAANTCAGTAGGTATTAAAAGGTAATCTAAACATATAAAATTACTTGTCCTGACTGACTGAATGATTGATTCATCATCATCCAGAGCAAACTGCTAAATCTAAAGAAGTGAAATTTAAATAATGCACTCCTAGAACCTATATCCGGTGTGACAAGGGAAGCGGAGAGGTGGTGTGTCGGAGAGAGAGAGAGCCATTATTGTGCTAAATTCTCCATACTAACTAAATAAAAGATTCAACTAGCCCAGTGTTGAGAAAAACGTCACTTCATTGTGCCTGTATACAACAGATATTATATTAATTAAATTATCAACAACTGTGGGGCAGATAATAGTGAGGTAAACTTAAAACTATGCATAAAGCTATACAATATAAAGATGAAAACATCACTGTAACTGTATGAGCAGGAAGCATCATCAGTAGGTATTAAAAGGTAATCTAAATATATAAAATTACTTGTCCCGACTGACTGAATGATTGATTCATCATCATCCAGAGCAAACTGCTAAATCTAAAGAAGTGAAATTTAAATAATGCATTCCTAGAACCTATATCCGGTGTGACAAAAAAAAAACAAAAGATAAAGTTCACCACAAAGTGAAATTTGGTACGCAGTTAGGGTACGTCACGAGAAAACGCGCACTAAAAAGGGATTTTTCGAAATTCCCTGGCGGGGGAGAGGGAGAGGATCGAGTCTTAACTGGAAAAACGGCTTCTACCGTACTATTTTACACGCGATTTTTCGTTTTCAACTAAGTTTAATTTTCATCGAATACTTAGATGTATTAAATTGTTATAAATATTTTCATATACCGTATTTCGATTTTTTAACCAAATGTTCGAACCGCTTTAAATTCGAATTTGTTATCGCGTATGGGTTCGATTATAGAACGATGGTAAACGTTGCAGAAAATTGATCAAATGGAAAATAGTTGGTTCGATTGTCGGCGGTAGGTGTCATGTAACAATTACTATGGTCGTCGAAATACAGAATATAAATGGGGTTTGCTGGCAAAGTCCTGGCGGGCAAAGCCGCGGGTAACAGCTAGTTATTTTAATAAAAATGCATTCTAGAATGGGGTTTAATTCTTTTTTATTAAGTATAGACCCGAATAAAACAAATATTTGTTTTTTAAATAAATTATTTATAATAAGTTTATTTATCTACTCGTAAGTAAAAATTGAAAATGTCCGTAGAAGTAATTTTTAAAAAATATCCATTTTCGAGATAAAGATTTATACTTATTACAATAATCTAAGAGGTTAACGCTTAAATGGTAATAGGAATACCGCATTAATGTAATTTTTGCCGCCATTTCGAAGGATTGGTCAAACTAACGAGTGCGAAGAGGTTTCTTTATTAAACTAATAGGCGCATTTCTGCAGTCTCCCGCGGGATTAGCGATTATTATTTTTTCTTTTTTCTTCCACGTCCAGTACGTAGATTTAATCAAAAATGTATTAGTCGACTTTCGTATCTAATCATTGTAGTTGGATAAATCCTTCGATACGGTAGCGAATTAATCAAATAAACCGCTTTCCTATATTACGAATCGTATAAATTACGTAATTTATTAAGAGTAAAAATATTTAATAAATTTTAACAATATATTTTAGTGGAAAAATTTCCACGGGTTATTTCGGTAGCCGAAAGGTTTTGGAACGGCCAAATTAAAAAAGTACCGTACGAGAAAATAAAGTATATACTGTTAAATTCCATTTATTAATATAGTAGCTAAAGCTGGCCCGCCATAAAAATGGGCTCCGTCTTTCGTTTATCGCGCCCGTTACGGCATTTTAGAATTTATTTCGTTGGTTTATAGAATTCTCGCACCCGGACCGCGGGAATCAAAACCGAAACCGAAAATATAAGATAACGAGTTTACTACGAAACCGGGCAAATGCCGCGGTAAGAATATCGTTCCGGCGCATTTTCCCTTTACCAATACGAAAATAGCCAATAGCCTACGTCGGTGGGGAAGAAATAACCTTTTAGAATTTTAAAAATCGATGGGGTGGATACCGAGGTTACTTCCGGCTTTAGGCCATACGCCAGTATAGATACGGATTAAAGCTACTGCCGAAGATTAAATAATTGCCAAGTTGACAACGTTAATATCGCGCGGTATCCCGAGAAAAATGGACGGGTGGATAATGTAAACTTAATTGGCTGGAAGCCGGATACGTCTTACCACGGGCGTATCTACGTTCGTTTCCACCCTTTCGGGACAAAAGCTACCGCCTATCTCGGACGCATTCTTAGCCACCGAAGTGTCCGCCGTAAACCAGTTTTACGGTACTAGACGGAAATCGAACCAGCTTAACGACGAAATGAGGCGGATGTCGATTCCGAATGGGTAACTGTCGAAATTTCCCAATTGTCATCGTACAGAGTCGGTTGCATTTGGACTGCTAAAAGTCTTTGTAAACAGCTTTGGATATGGTATTTTAATTACCATTAGCCGCCTCTATATATTGTATATAAAGTAGTTTAACTTAATAGAAACTAGAGAATGAATGATTCTCTCTATCTTATATACTTGTATATAATTCATTTCTATTTATTAATTTTTACTGAATTAAGCACTTTAATTAGGGCCTATAAGGAATTTACTTAAATATATATGCATTAATCGAAATAAATTTATTTTTTAATTTAATAGAATTATTTAAAAAATACCTTTACGGTCGGTTGTATTATTTGATTAACAATTGACGTAAAAGTTCTTATTTAACTATCAGACGACAAACGGGATAATGTTATTTACATTACAACTGCCGCTCCTCTTTTGATTTCTGTTTTGCGCATTGTGTCGCCCGTCTCCGTACGCGGGTCAACTCGGTTACCTTCTTTTCAGTTCGGTGTAAAAAGTATCGTTTGGCCCATTAGCTACTTTTTGAGTTACGTATTTATTTATAAATATATCTAAATATATAAAATTACTTGTCCCGACTGACTGACTGACTGAATGACTGATTGATCGTGGCCCAGAGCAAACCGCCCAACCTAAAGAGGTGAAATTTGGTACGCAGTTAGGGTACGTCACGAAAACGCGCACTAAAAAGGGATTTTTCGAAATTCCCTGGCGGGGGAGAGGGAGAGGATCGAGTCTTAACTGGAAAAACGGCTTCTACCGTACTATTTTACACGCGATTTTTCGTTTTCAACTAAGTTTAATTTTCATCGAATACTTAGATGTATTAAATTGTTATAAATATTTTCATATACCGTATTTCGATTTTTTAACCAAATGTTCGAACCGCTTTAAATTCGAATTTGTTATCGCGTATGGGTTCGATTATAGAACGATGGTAAACGTTGCAGAAAATTGATCAAATGGAAAATAGTTGGTTCGATTGTCGGCGGTAGGTGTCATGTAACAATTACTATGGTCGTCGAAATACAGAATATAAATGGGGTTTGCTGGCAAAGTCCTGGCGGGCAAAGCCGCGGGTAACAGCTAGTTATTTTAATAAAAATGCATTCTAGAATGGGGTTTAATTCTTTTTTATTAAGTATAGACCCGAATAAAACAAATATTTGTTTTTTAAATAAATTATTTATAATAAGTTTATTTATCTACTCGTAAGTAAAAATTGAAAATGTCCGTAGAAGTAATTTTTAAAAAATATCCATTTTCGAGATAAAGATTTATACTTATTACAATAATCTAAGAGGTTAACGCTTAAATGGTAATAGGAATACCGCATTAATGTAATTTTTGCCGCCATTTCGAAGGATTGGTCAAACTAACGAGTGCGAAGAGGTTTCTTTATTAAACTAATAGGCGCATTTCTGCAGTCTCCCGCGGGATTAGCGATTATTATTTTTTCTTTTTTCTTCCACGTCCAGTACGTAGATTTAATCAAAAATGTATTAGTCGACTTTCGTATCTAATCATTGTAGTTGGATAAATCCTTCGATACGGTAGCGAATTAATCAAATAAACCGCTTTCCTATATTACGAATCGTATAAATTACGTAATTTATTAAGAGTAAAAATATTTAATAAATTTTAACAATATATTTTAGTGGAAAAATTTCCACGGGTTATTTCGGTAGCCGAAAGGTTTTGGAACGGCCAAATTAAAAAAGTACCGTACGAGAAAATAAAGTATATACTGTTAAATTCCATTTATTAATATAGTAGCTAAAGCTGGCCCGCCATAAAAATGGGCTCCGTCTTTCGTTTATCGCGCCCGTTACGGCATTTTAGAATTTATTTCGTTGGTTTATAGAATTCTCGCACCCGGACCGCGGGAATCAAAACCGAAACCGAAAATATAAGATAACGAGTTTACTACGAAACCGGGCAAATGCCGCGGTAAGAATATCGTTCCGGCGCATTTTCCCTTTACCAATACGAAAATAGCCAATAGCCTACGTCGGTGGGGAAGAAATAACCTTTTAGAATTTTAAAAATCGATGGGGTGGATACCGAGGTTACTTCCGGCTTTAGGCCATACGCCAGTATAGATACGGATTAAAGCTACTGCCGAAGATTAAATAATTGCCAAGTTGACAACGTTAATATCGCGCGGTATCCCGAGAAAAATGGACGGGTGGATAATGTAAACTTAATTGGCTGGAAGCCGGATACGTCTTACCACGGGCGTATCTACGTTCGTTTCCACCCTTTCGGGACAAAAGCTACCGCCTATCTCGGACGCATTCTTAGCCACCGAAGTGTCCGCCGTAAACCAGTTTTACGGTACTAGACGGAAATCGAACCAGCTTAACGACGAAATGAGGCGGATGTCGATTCCGAATGGGTAACTGTCGAAATTTCCCAATATTATTTATCGGTTATATTCGAACGTATTTCGTTGTACGGATACTTTTCGATTCCTATTATTTTACCAATTTATCGCGAAATGGGAAAAGGATGTCGAGATAGGCGCCATAGCTTGTCGGTAAAATCGCTCCTATCTAATCTATAAGGGATTGTTACGAAATCCAAAAACTGATTTTCTAATAATTAAATTGCGAAATTCTAATCTCGGCAACGGTTAATAATTGGGGTTTTTGTTTAATAAAATTTCGAAATAACTATTTTCTTTAAGTTAAATTTAATTTTTAAATGTTAGCGCTAGGAACAATATAATCCAATTATATATATATAGGTATTCGTCGATTAGAAATATTTACGAAAGAATAAATGGACGAAGAATCTAGGAGAAATAAGAATGTAGGAATTGTCGAGGAAGGAAGAAACGGAGGAAAACCCGAAATATCGACGGGCGGGTAAAAGGGAAGGAAAGGTTTGACGAAAAGAAAAAAGCCGAACTCACCAGGGTGTAAACTCCGACGGCGAAAGATCCGTCTTTGGTGTTGGGAAAGCAACAACAGCGGGTGATTCGGAAACACATCTTCCGAGATTTGCGCACCCGCCACGCGCTTTTTCCGATTTATATCCCGGCGCGGGCGACGGTGACGTCGGAAACCGGGTAACGAATGAAACGTCGATGACGAACGACGATTATCTCCGTGTATCGAGTCGGACGATTAATTTCTCGGCGTTATTAAGGTAAAAGTCGAGCGATCTATTTTATATAACGACTGGCCAATTTCTGCGCCGATAACGCTTTAAGAGGGTAAGTTGCCTTAAACGTAAGAAGCCTACGCCACTGGGAAAGAACGAGGAAGGAGTGGAACGGTGGCGGACTTTTCCGGTTTTAATTAACGGCTTTGCGAATTTCCTACTAAGTGTTTAAACGTTTTAATTGTTTCTATTTGGAATCGTTTCGGTGTCTTTGGTGTCAAGACTTTCGGCCCGCCAACCAAACTTATATTAAATTCGTTGGTTTTCCACCTTTCTTACGGCTCTCGCGCGCCGGAAGTACGCCGTTCTGTCGTATTTTACGGCTGGGTCCGATTAGGATCGTCCGTTCCGAACAAATTATACAAAAATATTCGGGAAATAATAACCCATCGACCGGTTAGGAATTTCCCCCGATTTCGAATGTAAAAGGGAATTACCATCTCCTCTTCCGACTTCCTTCCGTCCCACCGAGTAGTGACGTTTTCCACCTTCCGGCTTCCTTAAATCGCCAACATTTATTACGAAAACGGAGAAGGGATTACGGAAGGTCAATTTCGAAACGACACGGAATAACATTTACAATAAATAATCATGTTTTTAATATATTTCGTTTAAAATATATAGGTCTACTCTCCGCCTGGAATTAGTAGCGGCTCGTCCCCGTAAGTCACACTTTTCCTTTAACAACGGAGTCTTTCGGGGGGAATTTTTGAATGGAAATAACGCGCCTTTCGATCGGCGTCGAAAGTTGGTACCCTAAGGTTTTCGCACGTATTCTCGTCCGATTCCGCTCCGGAGATGGGGGAAGGACGGAAGGACGGACGCATTTCGTTCGAGTCGCGGCCCAAACGAACTCGAATTTGGAATTAAAATGCCATCTCCCGTGTGGGAAATTTAAAATTTTTTTCTTCAGACGTCGATGTTGTAGGCTCTGGTCACTCTAGCGTTTTAAGACGTTATCCGTAAGCGTCGCATAAACGTAATCGAAATCGACGTCCGAATGGGAGAGGGAGATGCTTTGGCGCCAGCGTTTATTAAGTAATAATGGTTATTAAAATAAGAAATCCGGAATTGTTAATTACGTTTATATAAGATAATGTCCGTAGAATCCCGCCAGAAAATATTGGGTATTCCCGCTGGGTAAGGCCGATCCCGCCCACCGTTTCTCCAAGAAATAAGCGGCCGCTATTTTACCCGACGGTGCCGATTACGTGTAGATAAAAAGAAAATTACCACCTGTATTTTTTATCTATACGTAATTAGTACCATTGTTTTTAAGCGCGCTATAGCGGGCAATTCCTTCCAATAGAACGAAAATCATCGGCGGATACAAAGTTCTCGTCGATATCTCCCGATAAGGAAGTACCGGCCGGGCGGAAACGGTAACGTGTTATATAATGCGCCGTTTCTAAATCTAACGGCGTTATTTTCGCCGTCGACGGCTCTCCCCCCCGCCGGTGTCGGACGAAAATATTTGTTTCGGACGGCGGAAAAACCCGTTAAATTCTAGGACGGAGACTTTTCTAAGGCCTTCTCCCGCCCCGGGAACCGGCCGTCCACCCGGTCGACGAATGGCAAAATTATGACTCGTATTTCCGGAAGTTATTCCTAATTCTCGGGGAAGTTCCGCCTCCGGAACCGGGACGGGCCGCCGAAAGCGCGTGGCGGCACCGGGCCGACGGCGAGTAAAACGAAAAAACCCACGTCTTCGGAAGTTGGCATTTAATAAGGGGAGGGGAAATTGGTCTTTCCGCCTTTTTGTCAGATTTTCTTACGCCCGACGGAAAAATCTCCTACCCGTAAAAGCGCGATTTTCTCGACAAAACGTGGTAAGGTCGAATGCCCGTCCGAGTTTCTTCTCTCGATTTCTAACGGCGGCGTAATTCACCGAAGACCGTATTTTATTTATTTATATAATACATTATATAAAATATATTAAGACCGCGTATGTAAAAGACAGTGGCTAGGAACGGCGGAAAACGAAAAGAAGAGCTGGGTGTAGAAACGATTACGGCCTAGGCCCGTATCGACGGCCGGAATGCGTACGGTAGAAATTTCCTCCGTTTTTTAATACAAATTATTGACTAGGTAATCGTTTAATGTGGTTTTTATGGTTGGACGAAATAATTTTGCCACACCGCCGGTCTACTTAAGCGGTGTTCCAGGGTGGTAATCCGCCTTGCCGTCGCCTATTTTATCTGGCTTTCGTATAAACGTTTTATCGGAGCCACGTTCGAATCATCTTGTATTTTACTGCATTATTCCCGTAAATCTGGCTAAGGCCAGGCGGTAAATTTCGTCTTAAGTTATCGTCTATTATAATTGCCAAGTACAGTACTTTAATATAAAGATGCCGCTATCGTCGACTCTTTCCGTTTTCACGCCCGTCCCCTCCGGACGAACTTTTCTGTTTCTATTTGTTTTATCGATATTTGTTCTGGTGTTGTTTGCGCGTAATCCATTAACTCGACCGACGTTATTACCGCATCGTCTTCTGGCACGGTTCGAAAGAAGTCGCTGGTATATACGCGCCGAAGAGAAGAGGCGCTAATGTCCAGTGCGGAGCAATTGGTTTATTTGGTGTAAAAGATTTCCATGTGGCATTTTCCTCTCGATGGCCGCGGTAAAGGAATGCCTCTCCACCCGATATTGCGTAATTTACGCTTTCGAACGCTTCGGTTACCATTGGCCACTTTTCTAGTTTTTCGATAACCGTGTGTTTGGCGCGTAAACGAACGTCGACGAATAACGTTTACTTTATTTCTGTACTGTACTTCCGGAATCTATTATAAAAGACTCTTCCTATAAT